ATTAATAACGATAACAGCCCGACCGGGCGTTGACCGGCCGAGAATTTTTTTTTTTTTTTTTAAAAACTGCGCCGTCGTCCCGGCATAAAACGCACGCGGACATGGTCGAGGAAAATCCTTTCGGAAGATGGTCGGGGAGGGAGCCGCAGCTGTGCGACAGGGACCGCGGTCCGTGCACACGGCTCGCGTACATGTTTGTTTAGGTCTAGTTTGCCCGCGGTCGACACGGTCGTGTTGTTGACAAAAGCTCGCGCGACGCCCGTCCGTTGAACACGTCCGCGGAAGAACGGAGTAAACGGCGGGCGCGCGTACCAGTGTGCCGGTCGGAAAACGCGATACGGTTCACCTCGGAACTTTATCGGCCCGACCGACGGGCATCTTTAAGTAAATACCGTGTCCCGCCGCTGTTCGCCGATCAACGGGTGCGAAGTATGCTGTTACGATTATAACGCGCTTCGAGCGCAAACACGCCGTCGAACTTTTAAAAATACCGTACAGCGGTACAGCGTACGTCGTGTGAAGCGGTTGCGCGACATCCCGTTCCTTCGGACCCGTCCCTTTGCTCGTTAAACGTTATCGGTCCCGGTCTCCGTGTGCGCTTCAAACACGATCGGTCATCGTGCACGTGGAGACAGACAGAGAGAGAGAGAGAGAGAGAGTGAGAGAGCTTGCGTTCACGACCGTACGGCGATCGACAACGCGCGTCCGAAACGATGTTGACGATTTCGACGCGTAGAATCCGTCGCGCGACGAGAACGGCTGAAAGAAAACGGCTTTGCGAGCGGCCGGTCAACGGCTAAAGAGCGGACGCACGGTTTACCCGGTGTGCAACGGTCGTGCGCGCTGCAACGACGACGGTAAATTCGAATGGTCTCATGATATTTATTATATATTATGAAACCAATGGCAAACACGACCGATAATAACGACGACCGTGTGCGAGGTACAAGGGCCGGGGCACGGTCGAACGGGATAAGCGCTCTTCGCGTCCAGTGATCTGCGATGCGCGTGCGGAGAGGTTCGTGGCGGCGTCCGTACGCGTGTAAAGATTTATGCCCCGGTAAAAAGTAAACCCTTTTGCCCGCGGTAGGACCGCGTCTCCTCGAGGCCGCCCCGAGCAGCTGACCGCACGAGTTTTTTCTCCTGGTTGCCGGTCCAATACCGTGTGCAGTTTTTGTGTCGACGTCGAACGTCTGTTTTCGTACCCGTTCGATTACCGGGCTTTCCGATTCCAACACAGTCGACGAACGTTACGTTGAAACGTTCGAGATGCGGACATTTTTTTTTCGTTCTTACCATTTCAAGACTTGATTTTTTTTTTATTCCTCGAGATTTTTCTCCGTCCCCCCCCCCCCCTCCATCGACCATTCGTACGCCTTTGCGTTAGATTGCCGCTGGCTCGCGGTGCAGGCGTAAAACAGTGGCCCGGAAGATTCGTTCCAGCGCTCCTGGCAAACTTAGAAAAAAACCGCTTTTTTACCTATTAAAAATTTGACTTGACGAAATTTTTTTTAACCTTTAGTTGACAATCAGGATACAATTCTTTATCGCGAGTATCTAAAGCCGTGTGTCCTAAGAGGTGAGTTATGTTGTCCGTAAGTATTTTATGTTACCAAATGTTCAATTCAGCGATGATAACATGTAGATGAATTCATGTAGACGAATATAACTTATCCGACTAGCTTTTTTAACTCCTATTTTTCTTGATTTTCTAGCAATAGTGGTGCTCGTTTAAAAATGCTAGGTAAATAATAATGAGGCGTATATTTTTACTTTTTATTCTCAAAAAGTTGCGCACGTAAATTTACCTTCAAATGTGGTTTTACGGTTAATAAACCAGTCAGTTGTGTTTAATGGAAATCAGTGTTCGATGAAAAATACTGTAACACATTACTAACGGTCGACGGGAAAATTTTGAACATTCGGATTGATCCTATGGACTTGTTTAGTTGCGTACGCGTTCACCAGCCGAATGCGTTAAAAATGTAACGACCGTTTAAACGTCAAATTCTTTTAAACGTGTTTCCTCGGTTGGATTGTGCTGGTAAAGATCGTAGTACCTGTTATGAAAAGGAAAAAAAATAAAAGCTCAAGGGGGAGGACTACCAAAATCCCTTTCCCCGTAAACACGCCACTGCTGCGAGTTTTTCCGCGTCACGTACGCCACTGTCGGAAACGCAGTAAACGTCGTATCTCGCGGACGGAACGATTCGGAATTAATTGCGTCCCGTTTGCGCGGGCCAACTGTACAGGGTTTTCGTATACGTTCCGTCGCGGCCCAAAGACTTATTAGGAATGATGCGTAAAGGTATACCGAATAACGATGATGTTGCGCACAACGTAGCGAATGTTTTTCAACTATTTAATAATTTTATTTATGAAAATATACAATAAATATGTTATCGTAATACACTACGAAATAATAAATAATATATAATATAGGCACGAAAAATGTCCGTCGTCTCGCTACACACTAAAACAAACAAATAAATAATAAACATATTTTCGTCATTAGATCTATTAATACAATAATATTGTTCCCCCCCAAATAAATAATATGTATATAAATATTTTTATTATACAAACTCTACGTCAATATTACGTTTAATTATAATAATAATAATAATAATAATAATAATAATAATAATAATTATTGAGCAAAACTACTGCGTTTCGGTCTTCTCGTAATATAATATTAATATATTTATTTAATATATTCGGCTAATTTTTTTTTTTTGTTTTTTTATTTAATTTTTTTTTTTTTATATATAAGCATACATTCAATCGTGTGAGTTAACAATTTTCAAATGTCTTTAAATTATTTTTTTTCATTTCTTTTTTAGGCGAAGGGTTTGGTAGTTTTTAAATTTTCTCAGAGTGTTTCTACCTATTACAATATATTATGTATATGAGAATAATCGTGTCGAATTCGTCAAGGCCACTATGTGTTTTTTTTATAAACTTTTTAATTTTCAATTGTTCAAAAACGACTTCTACTACGCAGCCGCGGCCGCCGGCTATACAATAAACCGTTGTTACAAAACATAATATAATCGCAGCAGCCGCTGCCACATGTACCCGAAATCCCTAAACAGATTTATATAATAATAATAATAATAATAATAATATTAGTAATAATAAATTATTTACAAAATAAAATATTATTTTAAAATGATAAATATATGTTGTATAAAAATAAAATATAAACAAAACGAAGGACGCCTTATGTATGTATCCCATCTACTTTTATACGAGTGCCGAGCGCGCGCGGGTCAGCTCTTCTACTTCACACGATTTGCGTCTATAATTCGACGAAACAAACAAAAAAAAAAAAAATATACAATGCACATAATAATATATATATATGTATATAATAATATATTGCTATAGGTTTCACAAAATTATTGCTCTACGCTCTACCAGAGGCTCCCGGAAGGCTTTCGTTTATACGCTCCCGTTTCTCCCTCTACAGTTTTATTGCTTTCCGAATACGTACTTATAAATGTACACGAGTTTCCTTAAAAGTATATCATCAAACATCCTAACAAATTATACGAGGGTGATCCAAGATTTTAGACCAGAAAAAAAAAATGTATTAAGTTCATAAAAGATTTTCAAGTTATACACCACGAGATTATAAATCGAAAGAGAGAGAGAGAGAGAGAGAGAAACAATATATACACATAAGTGTTAACTTGCATATAATAGATAGAAAACGTACGTCTAGGATAAATAATATCAACGTTTTATTGGTAATAATCAAATATTTTTGAAATCCGAAATGAAAATATTTTTAAACATTTTTTTTTCTTTTATTCTTTTTCTTCCCCCCCCCCCCTAATTTTATTACGTTATTGAGCATACCAATAGGTTACGTTATTGCTTTTTTACTATATCATTTTCTTAAATCTACATAACATAATTAATAATTTAGTCTAGAAAAACAATTTTTGGTGTCTCAGTTTTTGTACTCTAATCTCTTCCATCTAATCTCAGTTATTGGTCTTTGAACAGAAACGGGTAAATGCAATATTTACTAGGAGTTTTCCCAACATCAACTACTAACATGTACCACATTTTAGTCTTGTATTTATCTTTTTTTTTTTTTTTTTCATTAAACTATGTATGAGAAAAATCGCTTAGTGTCTACATACGTTTTATTTACACAATACATTTCAATATAATATACTTCCGATGTTATTTTTATCTTTAATTATTTTAATTTTTTTTTTTTTTTTTTTTGAGATCACATTCTCTTATACATTACCACTCCCGGTAGTACTACTTAATCTAAATGACTAGATCACACACTCTGACATATACGTGTGTATACATCCAATTGAAATTAAAAAAAAAAACTTATTAAAAAAAAGGAATGAAAATGCACGCACTTTACATGCTTGAATCCACATACGTATATAATATGTATATACATAAAAGAATTAATCAACCGCTGGCAAATATTACTATACTATACACAGGGTCGGACAAGGTTAGGAACCAACCGCACAATTGTATTATTTTTTACTGACGCCTAGGAAATGTTCATTAATGCTATAATGTGAAATATCATGCAAATAATATTCGCTAAATAAAATCATGATTTGATTAAAACTAAGTAGATAAAATAGTAATTATAATAATAATAATAGTAATAAAAATAATGATAATAATATGTATTTAAATAAAAAAACGACTTTTATAGTTTGACAATGTCGAAACAAAATACAACACGCTATTGCACACCCCTTTTCGCGAATAAAAAATGACAAGAAGAATAAAACTTAAACCAATATTATCATCGTCGTGTTGGGTTTGTTACGTCGAATAAGAAAAAAAAGTATAATTATAAATATATATATATATATGTGTATATATATAAATTATATCTGCTGTATAAAAATTGACTAGAAGCGCGTGACTAGTGATTATGTATGTATGTGAATGAGAGAGAGAAAAATAGAAAAGTTATCCTATCGTTAAAAAAAAAAAATATAAAAAATAAAATAAAAGAAACCTTACCGTAATAATAAATAATGTATAATGAACTAGATTTTAAAGATTTTCGAAAAAATTGACTATAACGTATACGACCAGAACAATGTAAGAGAAAGGAAAAATAAATTACAATAATAAACCGAGGATAAGAAAACGTTTTTGTACGTGGACGAGTTTGTTAGGACGAAGGACGAGGACGAGGGAAGGAGATGGAGGATAAATCATGTAACCGCAGGACGACGATGGCTCAAGCAGTGTGCAGTACAGTGGGACGCAACAAGTTGAGATTGGTGATCTCGGCGGCAGTGGTCAGATGGTGTAAGTGTTGCTGCTGCTGTTGAAGATGCACGTGTTGCTGGCCGTTTAGATGGTGCGGCGGTGACTGGTGATGGTGATGCTGATGGTGCTGCGGTTGTTGATGCGGCGATGGCGATGTGGACGACGAGGACGATGACGACGACGACGATGATGACAACGAGGACAACGTCGACGACGACGAGGACGACGACGACGACGACGACGACGACGAGGACGACAGCGACGGTGACGGGGACAAGGGCGTGGGACTCGCGGCGTTGGACGAAGCGGTGGCCGTGGCCGGCAGACAGGCGGACTCCAGATGCTTGTTCAGGTACGACTTGAGAGCGAACGACTTGAAGCACCGCGGGCACGCGAAGTTCTTGTCGCCGGAGTGGGTCTGCATGTGCGCGCGCAGGTTGGACCGGTCCGCGAACGCTTTGCCGCAGTGCGCGCAACCGTACGGCTTCTCACCGGTGTGCGACCGCAGGTGACCCTGCAGCAGCCACGGCCGGCTGAACATCTTGCCGCACACGTCGCACGCGTGCGTCAGCTTGTGCGTGAGCTGGTGCATCGCGAGCGCGGGCATGCTCACGTACGGTTTGCCGCACACGTTGCACCGCTTCGCCGACTGCGAGTCCAGGCTCCGGTGCGTCTGCTTGTGCCGCGACAGGTTCGACGACGTCGCGTACCGCTTGCCGCACTCCGAG